AGAAAAATGTTGAAGTTAATAACAACAATAATAATAATAAATATTTTTATTTCTGCAAGTGCTTGTACACGGTATACAGGTCTAGCTGACATCAGTGACATACTACTATATAGAAGGTCCCTAGTTATGCAGAACATTTCGAACAGATTAGGTCAATTTTGTTCCGGGATGCGACCCACAACAGTCGATTAACACCAGGTACCTATTTTACTGATGGGTGAACAGGAACAATAGGTGCAAGGAAACACGTCCAATGTTTTTGCTCTTGCCGGGAATCGAACCCGGACCCTCAGCGTATGAAGCGAGAGCTTCGCTTACCATGCCACGAACCACCTAAGTTCTTGCTAGTCGTGGTACCAGATCCTAATAACAGCAGCAGTTAGCTTCTCTACAATTGAACAGTTCTGTTTCGGAATCCTGCGTTTGGTTATTGCCCATAGACTCAATTGGGCTAAGGTCAGGAGAGTTTTCAAGCCAATTTAGAACACTTAGCACACACTCTTTGAAGAATGTTAGTTTTTTCTGGAAGTGTGGAGCAAGATCCTGCTGGAAAATGCCTTCTTCATCAGGAAAGTCTCTCTCCACAATGGGAAGCAAATGAGTTGCCAGGATTGCCTTATATTTGTCACTGATCATCGTTCCCTCAACAATAACAAACTGTCCATAGCGTTTAGCAGTAAAACCACCCCAGAACATCTTAGGAGGGTTTCTGTGGAAAATACTGTATATATTTTCCAGAAATACGGTAATTTATAGGTAAATAGATGGCCTATATTGTATTTAATAAATTATGTTATCGAAAATGGGAACCTGCGCCTGCGCAGACGACACTGGCCATTGTTGTTTGTTTTGAATTGAAACAACAGAATGTTAGTGTAATAATGGGAAGAATTTTTCGTGCTCTAGAGGTAAAATTGTGCTGACACCTCTCAAATAGGAGACGAAATTGTTGGATGTGCATTCCTGCATTACTTGAGATATCAGACGACTGGACAAGACAGATCCAGGAACCTCAGATAAGCTATTTAGATTTATGTTATAATTCTGGCCAGTATTTTCATAAATTTAGTTAGTGAGGTTTTCTGAGTATGATACACCTTAATCTCCAGTCAAATTGGTGAGTGATATTAAGATATTCTCTTTCTGTTATGTAAATGTGTGTATATATAATCCTTTTTTAATTTTAATATACAGTCCACAAATTTATATATTTACCAGCATTCCTGGTGATGTATCTTTCATTTATAATTAATAGGTCCAGAGCAACTTGTGGATATGACAGTTGTAGGTATCGAAGGAGGACATTTTTTGCGACCTAGGTGTCCCAAATTCCTACTTGTCTAACTGATAAATAATAATTATCTTTGTTCATTTACTGTTATGTACATAATGATACATTCAGATAAATGTAATTTTCCACAGTTTCGGCGCTTGTCATTCTGCAAAGGTTCGCATTTGCTCCATCTCATTACCACTGATCTGTACCCATGTACTTCACAATGATCCTCATCTGTCGTCCATTCCTTATGATCGCGTGCCTACTGCAACCGTTTTTTTTTTCTTCATAGCAGCTTCTTTACCGGCTTTCATGCAATTCTGCCAACTTCAAGGAGTCTTCATCGAACAGTTGAATTATCAATATTTACGCCACCTGAAGCCAAATCTCTCTGTAGATCTTTGTTGGATTTCTTGGGGTCCTTCACACTATTTCTTACGATAACTTTGTCTTACGTTTTCTTCCTCATCTTCGTCAACGCAGAACTCCACAATCACCAGTGTCATCAGCTCTCTTCAGAATCCAACCAACAATTGACTTTGCTAGGCTCAATTTTTCCGCGATTTGTCTGATACTTAAATCAGCACGTTTTCTAAGAGCTACAATATTTGCACGCTTCCTAGATGTAAAATCCACCATGAATTTCAGCAGTAATCATGGACTGAAGGAGAATTTGGCGAAACCACATTCACTGATGGAACACGCGTACATCAATAACCTTACAGAACAATAGCTGTTGTAGCATTGACAAGAGTCGCAGGGTAGCACCACAGCTGGATGGTTGCCAGAAGTCGATAACAAACTCTTCTGAAATGAAAAAGAACCCAAACTATATTAATTAAGCTGGGGACTAACACATATGAGATAATCACAAAATTTTCTCCTACCCCAATTAATTAACTTTATTGAGGTACAATTACACAGGTTTCCGGAGACGATAGGTGTCTTATATAGTAACATGTGTAAATTACCTAGGACAGTCCATGAAAGTCAGTGACTTATTTCCATTGAGGTGATTAATTTCCAATGGAATCCTAGTTATAAATCTTTCAAGCAATGTTCCAAATTACTATTAACCAGCGTTTGTATTCACTTACATGTGGTTGCAGGAGTTTGACCTCTTCTCTAGTCGCTGCTGGGTTCACGCACTCTCCTGGCTTAGAGAGCCTTATCGTACCTTGTCTAAAAGCTATGTAAGAATCCTCCCTCTACCACTCCACTTCTCTAGGTCATTCCACTTCCCGACCACATTAAGGCTAAAGAAATATTTCCTAATATCTCTGTGACTCATTTGTGTTGTCAGTTTCTAGCCGTGCCCTCGTGTTCCTGTTTCTCTCCTCTCAAACGATTTCTCCCTGTCTACCCTATCAATTCCTCTCAGTATTTTTTATATTATCATATCGCCCCTAGTTCTTTACTCTAAGGTGATAAGGTTTAGCCTCCTCCATCTCCTCATAACACACACTCCTTAGCAAAATTCTGCATTTTCTCCATTTTTTTTAATATGTTCGATCAGGTGTGTATTCCATACTGGTGCTGCATATTTTAATATGGGCCTGACATGTCCCGTATACAGAGTCGTGAACGACTCCTTCCATAGGTCCCTGATAGCCAATCTTAGATTTCCTACTCGTGAGATTGCTGCAGTAGCTATTTACTTACGGGTAGAAACTTTAGGACGTGTTTCCTTAAAACACCTGCTGTCCCTGTTCACGTAGCAGTAAATAGGTACCTGGGTGTTAGCCGACTGGTGTGGGTCGCATCCTGGGGACAAAATTGACCTAATTTGCCCGAAATGCTCTGCATTACAATGGGCTTTCTGTATAGTAGTATGTCATTGATGTCAGCTAGGCCTGTATACCTTGTATATGTACTTGTAGAAATAAAGATTATTATTTATTATTAATTATTATTATTATTATTATTATTATTATTATCATTATTATCATTATTATAGTACGTGCCTCAGCTGACATAATCGGTACAATGCTTAATGCGAAGTTCATCTTCTTGAGCCCAGGTTTGCCGCCTTTGCACACCGGAGTTTGTACTCCGTCTGTACTTCTTTTCCTCATCCCCAATCTTCATAACTTTGTACTTGTTAGAGTTGAATTCTAGCATCTATTTATCGGACCAGATCTACAGCCTGTCTTACACTCACCTAAATGTGGTTGCAGGGGTCGATTCATAGCTGCTCGTGTGTGCGAGTGCGTGCGTGTGTCTGAGCGAGTTACCTCTTTGTAATTATCGGGGCAGGGCTCCTGTGGTGTCCCATCTCCAGTAAATGTTTTCATCATTTCATTATTAATATTTTTATTGGTTGTTTCGTGCTGGTGAATAACCCAAGATATACTCTGTCCTACTTGCCATGATATACAGTATAGGAGTATATTACAAAGTAAATAATATTGGGTCTCGTGCGACCTAGCATCATTTGCATGATCAATACATACTGTGCTTAAGGAATATTTCCTCACATTCCACAAGACTCACAACATCACACACACTTTATGAAAGACAATGTCCAGTCCCACATGCCACACCAGGTCATGAATGGTTACTAAAGAGAATTTCAACGTTATTCAGTGGCCAGGGAAACAGCCCTAACCTGACTCCAATAGACAATTGTTGGAATGAAATGAAAGCAAAAGAATCTTTCCAGATACACATTAGTACTACACTTTACCCAGGAGATAAAAGAAAATCTAAATTCATGAAACGGACTTTAAAAAAATATGGTTTTATGCCTAACCGCCTGAAATTTGTAATCGAATCACAAAAACATGACTAATGTTAAAAGTAAGCGAAATTTGGTTTTCTTACCCTTTAACCGACATTACTTGAAATTCGCCAGCAATTTACCAGTAAGGGACCACAGGTAACAGAAGGAAGGAGAGTGTACTGACAAAGGATGACAGGGATGTCTGCGAATTACTAAACAGTAAATTTAAAGAGGCCTTTCACCAAGGACTCGAGTTACATGCCAGATTGAGGGTAGACAAAGGGAAGCAGGTTAGCTGGGCTTGAGATGTGAGTTTAGGAAGTATGGTGCCATCACATCTGAAGGATGATTGTTGGAGAGGCGCTTCGGTAGGCCATATGTTTGGTCCAGTCCCTGGACCCATTATGTACCTTTGTAATCTTTTGACTACCGCCCACAGAATGGGTATGGGGTGCATAATAAAGATATTAAACTAAAAAAAAAAAACTTCTCTGTGCACTTCAGGAAAGACAGCTAGGGACTGAGTGATGGTGAATGTGCTTTTCTTGGGGTCACTTTGCTTTCTATTGGAAACTGCTGTCTTAAAATTTATTTGTGTACTTTCACATGTGTGGACTAAACAGGCGTTTAATGCATTCCATATTTGACTGAAAAACGCTTCATGTGTACATAGATGTATATTTCTTTAGTCATTTGCATATCCATTCATTAAGCAGTTACTAAACAACTGACCACTCATCAGCTAATCACACTTGACAATTAATCACTCACCCACTTATCACACTCGACAGTTGATCACTCACCCACTTATCACACTCGACAATTGATCACTCACCCACTTATCACACTCGACAATTGATCACTCACCCACTTATCACACTCGACAGTTGATAATTCACCCACTTATCACACTCGACAGTTGATAATTCACCCACTTATCACACTCGACAGTTGATCACTCAACTCTCCACTCACAATCTGTCCACATTCAGTAGCCCAGAGGTCGGTAATCAGCTGAGGTAGCATTTCCTCTGTGATAGGCCAGCGTTATCTTGCCTTCGTGAGAGACTGTTGGAGTGAACATTAACCTCAGTCTTCCTCTTCTGTTTACTTCATCAACTACATGTCTCTCTCCTCACGTCTTATCCTCTTCGTTCTCTTGTCTCTCCTAGTCATCCACCTCTCTCTGTCTTCCCCACGGCGAAGAGGAAGAGGGAGAGTGCAGGAGGAAGAAAAGGTGGAGGACGAAGAAGTTAAAGATGAGGTGGAAGTAGAGGAGGAGGAGGACGACGACGACGACTGGGGTCTCCTTCCTGGAGAAGTGGATGCATTCAGAGACGTGTTGATTAATTTGATGGATATTTTCGACGATGGTTATGGTGCCACGAGTAAGGTGAGGGTGAGGGAAGGTGATGGAGGAGTAAGGAAGGGTTTCAGAGGAGGTTGTTGAAGGATGGAAACTTTTCTCCTATACAGGGGTTATTTGTGTATATAAGGAAGGTGATGGAGGGGTGAGGGACAGAAATGAAGGCCAGAGCGAGTGCTTGAGAAGTGAGAAACGAAAGCTGTTAAGAGGGAAAAAGATGGAGCGGTTTCTGGTGTGGAGAGGAAAATGAGAAAAGCTAAGAGGAAGCGAAGAGCAATAAGAAATAAATAAATGAAAGGGAATAAAAGCAACAGAAATATTAGTTGCAAAATGGAGACAACATTATTAGAAAACACTGTTAGAAAGCTGCATTAGAAAACACTGTTAGAAAGCTGCATTAGAAAACACTGTTAGAAAGCTGCATTAGAAAACACTGTTAGAAAGCTGCATTAGAAAACACTGTTAGAAAGCTGCACTAGAAAACACTGTTAGAAAGCTGCATTAGAAAACACTGTTAGAAAGCTGCATTAGAAAACATTGTTAGAAAATGCCTGCTATGACATCACTATTGTTGGGCTTATATTGTTGATCTTGTTTCTGTTGTTGTTCGTCTTGTAGTTATTTGTTATTCTTGTTGTTGTTGTTGATGGTATTGTAGCTTTTGCTCTTGTTGGCCTTGTAATTTTTGTTGCTTTTGACATTATAATTATATTTTATTTTTTGGGGGTTTGTTGTTGTGAAATATAGGCGTTACTATTGTTGCTCTTGTTTGTTGTTATAAAATACTGAGAGGAATCGACAAGGTGGACAGACAGGATGTTCCAGAGATGGAACACAGCAACAAGGGGTCACAGTTGGAAGCTGAAATACTTCCTAACATCACAGGGATGTTAGGAAGTATTTCTTCAGTCATAGAGTTGTCAGGAAGTGGAATAGCCTAGCAAGTGAGTTAGTGGAGACAGGTACCATACATAGCTTTAAGAAGAGGTGTGATAAAGCTCATGGAGCAGGGAGAGAGTGGACCTAGTGGCGACCAGTAAAGAGGCGGGCCAGGAGCTATAAATAGACCCCTGCAACCACAATTAGGTAAGTATATTTAGGTGAGTACACACACATCAATTTGAAATTACAAAAAACATTTTGTTCGGTTAAAGTTTTTTTTTTTTAAACAGGATGGAGCCTTGGGGGCCTTTTCCCTCACGTCTGAGGCAACTGACCTCTTTCACCATTATGCTAATCAATCACTGACAGTAATTATCTTATTATTATATATTTTATTGGCTCCGTATCCAGTGTATTGGAAAACAAAATGCTGACGCTTCCCATTTCAGCGTCAGAGAAGCAAGAAGTGTCGCGGGCGTGGGTGCAGGAGAGGGCGTGCTCGGGATCAGCAGCTGGAGGAGGAGGAGGAGGAGGAGGAGGAGGAGGAGGAGGAGGAGGAGGAGGATGAACCTGCAGTGGTCATCGTGGTGGAAGACAAGCAAGCTGACCCCACACATCTTACCTTCGCCTCGCTCCTCTATCAAGACGAGGCCCCGTGGGGCCGCTGTCCTCGATCATGCGTCGCTAGGAGGTTCAGGTGCGTGCAGAGGGATTGTGTGTAATTACCTGTTTGTAATTATCTATTTGTAGCTACAGGCGCACAGTTATGCTCCTGGTGTCCCGTCTTCAATATCTGTTCATCATATATTGTTTTAAATTTCCAGTGGTTGCACCACTTACTAATTCCTCCTTTAAAGGGCACCTAAGTTCCCCCGTCTTCTAACATGTTCATTTTTTCCACTATAATCTACCTTGTCCATAATTACTATCACATTTGCTTTGTCTGTTTCGTAAGGTGAAGTCCAGGATCTTTCCTTAATTCATGGTATAACTTAACAAATCTTTGAGGACAGTTGTGTCGCAGAGGCCTGAGCTTTGCCCAGACCTCTGCAACACACTCGGTGTGGGAGGCTAGAGAGTTGCCTACCAGGCCACGAGACACCGTATAAGTTTTATTTCTTCTGGTAAATTGTTTATATAAATTAGAAACATTGGGACAAGTACTGACCCTTGTGGCACCCCTCTTGTGACCTCCTCTTATAACTACTCATATTTTCCTGTCTAAGTTTCTCTACTGTAATAATTTACCTTTCATGCATTCTATAATTTCCAGCTTCCAAATTAGTCTTAAGTGGGGAATTCTTAAGACTAGTCAAGGTAAATACAATCAGTCCATCCATTTTTTCCTCAACTTCCATTTCCCAGGCACTGTATGACTTATACGGGTTTAGAGTTTCTCCGTGAATAATAATATTAACAATCCTGGCTTACTGAAACAAGGAATTATCCTCTCTAATCTATCAGTCACTGTCAGTCTTGACAGGTAATTTATCCTTTCTAATTAATCACTCAAACATAGTAATAATTTATTCCTTCTAATCAATTTATCAGTCAGGTAAATTATCAATCTCTGTCAGTTGAGCTTGGCCTCCCAGGTAACAAAATTCTCACACGTTGCAGGAGCTGCAAGTACAGGACTCTGTGTGGGGATCGGAGTTTGATGGAGGAGGCTTACTGCTACGTCCCCGGGTCTGCCTGCCAGGACCAGGTACGAACTCGAGGTAAATTCAAGTAAATTCAGTGACTCTTTTTTGCCAGAAAAACCTCAGTTGTACGAATTTTCACCCGTGGGCTTCGTCACCCACGATGGGGTTTATTATTGCCCTCATTCGTAGGCACTTATCCTTTCAACGTACCCGGGTCCTAAAGATGGATCCTTCCCTGTTTCTGCTAGTGCAGTGTGCTTGGCACTGCGGATGAGATGGCCGTGTCAAGACATAGCACATATCCCGTCATTCTTCACAATGTCCTAAGATACATATCCTCTCGCAGTTGCCAGGCGTTGATTACTACCAGCCTAACTAATCAGAGAATGGGCCTAAGTTACCAGACGGAGGATCGAGCCTGCACTACACCTTGCGCTAAATGACCCACATTACTACAGACCTTCATGAAATGCAGGTATAAATAATATATCCTAGCCAGGAAAAGCCTGTCTGTGAAATTGAAATTTTTCTCTCGTGCTGAGCGAACGGAGGATCGAGCTTCCACCATGGGTTTAACACTTCGTATAAATATGTTTAACAATTATACAATAAAAAGAGCTTAGTGGAGAGGTATCTTGATGCAGTTGAAGATCTTTTCGTGTACATACCGTCCTCCTCTCCGTGAGAAGTAGCCCAGGGAAAAAATAGTCATGTCTTTTAGACAAAATGCTGAACGAATTCGTAATGAAATAATGTTGATAGTATTAGTGGGAGTACATTCCTAAACATCATACCAGACATCGTGAGCGAGACGTTGTCAAAAATACCATCTTGCTTTGTATTACATAACTTTATACATTATTTTATGTATATGCATTTTATTAGTTAATATTTAAAATGTCAGAAAACACCTAATGATTGACTGGGCCGCGGGGGCGTTGACTCCCGGAATACCCTTCAGGTATACTCCAGGTATACTCCAGGTATACTGCTCTGAAACGTCGAAGTATGCAATGAAACTAAATCCTAATCAAGCTAAATCGTATTTTTTAAAGAAAGTTTGTAAACATTTGAACGAGGTTCAAGAATGCTTTGAAAATATGAAGCGTAAGCAGGTATAAGGAGCAGAATGGAAATACGTAGAGAATGGATTTAATCTGAGATAAGAGTCTATTTTGCAGGGCCTTATCAAGACTTCAGAAGATACACTAGGTGAGTTGTTGATAAAGTTGGGTGAGGAGAGAGAGACAGGTGAGGTTCGTCTAATAACGCTGTTCGACAAAGACTTCAGTTCACTTTTGAAAACTTGTTTCTAATTAATTTTGGGACTCCGAATTCAAATCTGAACTCCATCCTCACTCCAATTACGTTTCAATTATATTGTCTACAGATTATTATTATTATTATAATCACCTGGGAGACAGTAATAGTGAGGATGGAGGTGCTGTCCAGGTAGTCAGTAAATGTACGCATGAAGGAATGCATATAAATGACCTCGAGGGAGACAGGAGCTGTAGTGGGGAAACAAGTGTAGTCAAGGACAAGATAAAACCAATATTACAAACTAGTAATACCACAGGAGATAGCAAAACAAGGGGGCTCCACTAGCAATAGTGAGGATACATTACCAAAAACAACTGGTGGGAGCCCCATTGTTAGTGCTAATGAGGATAGGAAAAAGACAGGTAAACATGCACCATGGCGTAATAGCGCATAAAATGCGTGCTAAAGGAATAACAGGAAAAGTTGGTAGATGGATCTATAATTTCCTCACAAGCAGAACACAAAGAGCAGTAGTCAACAGAGTAAAGTCCGAGGCGGCTACGGTGAAAAGCTCTGTTCCACAAGGCACAGTACTCGCTCCCATCTTGTTTCTCATCCTCATATCTGACATAGACAAGGATGTCAGCCACAGCACCGTGTCTTCCTTTGCAGATGACACCCGAATCTGCATGACAGTGTCTTCCATTGCAGACACTGCAAGGCTCCAGGCGGACATCAACCAAATCTTTCAGTGGGCTGCAGAAAACAATATGAAGTTCAACGATGAGAAATTTAAATTACTCAGATATGGTAAACACGAGGAAATTAAAACTTCATCAGAGTACAAAAATTCCGGCCACAAAATAGAGCGAAAAACCAACGTCAAAGACCTGGGAGTGATCATGTCGGAGGATCTCACCTTCAAGGACCATAACATTGTATCATTCGCAGCTGCTAGAAAAATGACAGGATGGATAATGAGAACCTTCAAAACTAGGGAGGCCAAGCCCATGATGACACTCTTCAGGTCGCTTGTTCTATATAGGCTGGAATATTGCTGCACACTAACAGCACCTTTCAAGGCAGGTGAAATTGCTGACCTAGAAAATGTACAGAGAACCTTCACGGCGCGCATAACGGAGATAAAACACCTCAATTACTGGGAGCGCTTGAGGTTCCTAAACCTGTATTCCCTGGAACGCAGGAGGGAGAGATACATGATTATATACACCTGGAAAATCCTAGAGGGACTAGTACCGAACTTGCACACGAAAATCACTCACAACGAAAGCAAAAGACTTGGCAGACGATGCAACATCCCCCCAATGAAAAGCAGGGGTGTCACTAGCACGTTAAGAGACAATACAATAAGTGTCAGGGGCCCGAGACTGTTCAACTGCCTCCCAGCATACATAAGGGGGATTATCAACAGACCGCTGGCAGTCTTCAAGCTGGCACTGGACAAGCACCTAAAGTCGGTACCTGACCAGCCGGGCTGTGGCTCGTACGTTGGATTGCGTGCAGCCAGCAGTAACAGTCTGATTGATCAGGCTCTGATCCACCAGGAGGCCTGGTCACAGACCGGGCCGCGGGGGCGTTGACCCCCGGAACTCTCTCCAGGTAAACTCCAGGTAAATAGGGAAGCACTAAACCAGTAGGATTATATTGTCTACAGAGCTCTTGATCATTTTATGGAAAATGATTTATGGTTTTGTTTGATTTTTGTGCATTTATGAGATTGTTTTATCACTAATAGATTGTACCTTTTCTGATTCTCTTCAGATCTTCAGCGCTAATATTTAACAGCATTATCAACTTATGTCTCGCACTGTACTATTCCACTCGTGTGCATTGAGACACGGGGAACTGGGGTTATGGAATACGGGGATACCGTTTCAGTATCGGGCTTGATACCTGTCTCACGGTATCTTCCTGCGCAGGTATTAGAGCAGCTGGACAGAGAAGGTTACGTGATTGTGGAAGATAACGAGGCAGATGTTCTGATGGATGACACCATGCATGACCACCGTCACGTGTCCGACAATGACAACACAATCACAGGAGAGGAGGATCTTTATCCTGATAGTGATAGTAACATCGATGGGGACTATTATGATTATGGTGAGTGTTGTAAGGAGCATGTGTTGTAATTTTTCAAATTTGATGGGGGAGGAGGAAGTGGTAAACATGTTACTGTTTAATATGTTAATATTTTTCTTGAGAGTTTTTGCCCAGATATATTGTATACCAAAAGCTATATAGTTTAGCCGTAAGAACAGATAGACAAGTGCATGAAAATCATTCCCTTCACATCTTCTTTCAAATCTAGGCTGGTCTGACTTCCTATCTGATAACACCGGCGATGGCGACGTAAACAATAACGAAGATGATAATGTTATAGATGAGGAGGAGCACCACGAAGAGCAGGACGAAGAAGAGAAAGTAGTAAAGGAGGAAGAACACCAGCATGAGGAAAGAATTTGTGGAAAGAAATCTATCAGGACCCGTGATAACATGCTGAGGATCTTGGGAGGGCGAGAGGCCAGATATGGAGAGTGGCCTTGGCAGGTGGCTGTACTTAATAGGCTCAAGGCAAGTTTCCTCCATTTCCTGCATGCTTGCAGCTTATTGGAAACTTTGGTCTTAACACGTATCCTTATGAAACATTATCAGTAGCACTCCCATTCTGATATTCTGTGATAGTTAAAATTTACTTTATTGTTTATATATTCATTCCAGTTTGCTATGTATTATTATTATAATCATGGGGGAGCACAAAACCCCCCACATACAGCGCATGTGGGGGGGATGGAAGGCATTCAGGCTCAATTCAGGGAACTGGAGCACAGATCCAATTCCCTAGATCAAGAGCCCTTCACCTCCGTGAGGGGGATCTGCGAGGAAACTAGTGTTTTCTAAATATTCAGAATATCTTTTTCTTGTAATCTCTCTATCACTTGCAGGTTACACTCACGTGTGTAAATATTTATGTTCGGGAGTTTGTTTATTCATGTATTCACCAATGCTCATCGGTGAAAGCAGCCTCGACTTTGATGCATTCCTGATTGTCCACATCCAATCAAGCTCCCTTCAACTTTATATTTTCCGTTTCCCCGCAGGAGACGATGTGCGGAGGCACGGTTATAGCCCCACAGTGGGTCCTGACTGCAGCCCACTGTGTAGAAAAGAGATTGTACGTCCGTTTAGCGGAGCACGACTTAACTGTCCATGACCAACATGAAATGGAAATACGGGTCTGTAGCTATAAGCCTGTATACTGTTTTCAACCAAGTTACAGTGGTAATGAACTATTTATATGTTTATATATGGTTACAGTCATAATGAATTATGTATGCAGACACGAATTGTCACAAAAAACCACCTTATATTTTAAACAAGTTTAAATAATTATGCGCTATTTACAACAGGCAAAGTCGACGAGAAGGATAGTGATTTAGGTAGGGGTGGACTTGCAAGTTGGAATAGGCGAAGAATTGGTTTGGCGAGAGAATTATTTTAATTATTATGATCAAAAAAAACGCTAAATCGACAAGGGTCATACAGAAGAATTATTTTAAAGGTAAGAGGAAGTATTCCAGGGCTTGACCCAGCTACTGAGTTTTGATGAGCAATTGAGGGCACTTTTCAAGATTATAGTTGAAAAGAAATTAACATTTGCACGCAAAAAAAAATAAAAAAAATAAAGATCAAGCCACGTTAACACAGGCCTATTAGGCGAGTTTGTAGATTATCTGTAGATAGGAACATTATTATTATAATCAAAAAGAAGCGCTAAGCCACAAGGACTATACAGCGTGTAGATAGGAACAGGTGGTGGTGCATAGAGATAATAGAATAAGTTGTCGGTGCCGCGAGGTATTATTATTAACAGGTCTGTGGCTTATACTTCGTGGTGGGTATCTATCTTTTTAATCTGTCACTCAGCGTTTTTAAGTACACATTTACAGCTAGGATGTTGAGCCTTGAAGTAGACTCACTCTCGGCAGAATCCTGCCAACTAGCTATAAAATTATCCAGTGCATTATAATAAAATAAGCGCTGAACCTACGAGGGTCATATAACACAGCAGGGCAGTGAAGGGTGTAGGGGAATTGGGTAGCAAGAAAGGGATTATTATTAGGTCATGGAGTGCAGGGGCAGTGGATAATGCAGGGGTAGAGGGTAGCAAGAGATTGAGGTAGAAAGGGCTGTGAGGAGTCCTAGAGGCACCATCTTCAGAGTTTGCAAAATCAGTTACTGTCAAAAAGTCAATTAGAGAAGGGAAGGTAAAGTAAGGGCAGTAGAGCGGCGACGACGATCTGCGTGATCGTTGAGTGGGCAGTCCAACAGAATATGGCTAACAGAAACTGGAACCTGACAGTTCTCAGAGTGGAACAGGGCACCTCTCCATGAGATACCCATGAGTAAGAAGAGTGTGGCCGATGCGAAGATGGGAGAGAGTAGTCTCCCAACCTCAACACTGATAAAGAAGACGGCCAGAAACCTATACATGGTTTAATAGAATTTAATTTATGTTGCAGATCAGACAAACGTTGCCAATGGGTGTGAAGGTGGGTAGCAATTACAGCAAAATAGCCTGTGAATGGAACACCTCCATGTGAAACTGGGTCATATACTGCTGATCGCGCAGTCTGTCTGTCCATTGCCCTGTACGTCAATATGATCAGGGACCCAACCAAAAAAAAAAAAAATAGCTTTGTGCTTGCTAGAGATACAGCATAACCAAAGATGGATATGAAGAACCAGGGGATGAGATGAATCAAATTTTCTCATAGCCTGTAAAGCACTAAGGGAGTCTGAAACTACCACAAATGGTGACACAGGCATAGACGCAATACAGATAAGTGCTACGAGAAAGGCATACAATTCAGTAGTAAAAATGCTAGCCAAGGATAAATGCCCTCTCACGACGCTGTCCGGAAACACTGCTGCGACTCAGACGTCATCAAAAGACTTTGGAACCATCGGTGTACACTGTGATGGCATGAGAATGATTATCCAGTGCAGCGCCTTGTTTTGGGTACACTGCAGTTTCAGGAGGCTGGACTTTGGCGGTGAGGAAGTGTTAATGGTGTGTGTGTGTGTGTGTGTGTGAGGGGTCGCGTGAGAGCTTTCTGGAGGTACAGCTTCATCTGGAGTTGGGCTTCTCGTACTGTGCTTGTGTATACCTGGAGGGGGTTTCGGGGGTGAACGCCCCAGCATCCTGGTCTAAGACCAGGACTCGTGGTGAATCAGGGCCTGTTCAAGTAGGCAGTTATTGCTGGCCACACGCAAACTGACGTATGAACCACAGCCCGGCTGGTCAGGTACTGACTTTAGGTGGGTATTTATCTAGATTGGCAACTAGTACTATGGTCCCCTTAAGAAGTTCCTTGACGCAGGTGAGGTCTCTTGAGCCGTGGAACTAGATTTATCCTCCCTTGCCTTGAACCTGAATGCCTCGCATTCCTCAGCAGTGCTATGCAACCTCTATGGGTTTAGCTTCCCGTGATTAAAAAAAAAAAGTACTGTGGTGTCAGAGAGAGACCCTTAGGGTCAATCAGCACCTGATTATTATAATAAAAAATAAGCCCTAAGCCACAAGGGCTATACAGCAATCAGCACCTGAAAGAATGGAAGACAGGCTTGATTCAAGGATCTAGTTTATCTGCTTCTGTGTAAGATATGCTGATTGTATCACTGCATTGAGGTTCTGAAATGTCATTTGTGTACAGGTATTACCGTGTTAGATTAGGACCGAGTCTTGCGAGATCTCTGCCTGAGGTAGTAAGTAATCGGAGTTATTTTTGGTAGATTGTTTCAAATAGTATGGTTGTCATCTAAGTATAGTCCAACAAACTAGAAAAGTTAGCTTGGGTCCCATTGCTATTACAAATGCAGCCTAGTGGTTAGAGCTCTGGCCTGTTACTTTTAGGAATGTCTTTCCTTCGTTTCTAGTTCTGTCCGTTCCATGCTTAGAATTGTTATATTACAATTTTCATGAGTTGAATAATGCAAGGTTTGAACCAGAGAAATTATTTTACATCTGACTCTTCCACAGGTAAAACACATTTTCGAGTACCCTGATTATGACCCGGAGACCTTTGAACACGATTTGGCACTGCTGAAGTTGCCGCGAGAAGTGCCTTACAACAAGTACATCAGAAGTGCCTGTCTACCAGGAAGGGCAACGCCGCCACCAGCCAGGAGTAAGTGTGTGATTGCTGGCTGGGGAAAGAAGAATGAAGCTCACATCTTCGGCTCCGATGTCCTCAACTATGCCCGGGTAAGAATGCTCCTGTTGTGCAGACAATGCTGAGAAGTGGTTACTCTACAATTATGAGGAAGCGCTAAATTCCCAAGGGTCATGATGCACCTAGGGTGAGGGAATCAGGTTTGATCCGAGGAAAAGGAGAATAGTCCTTGGATCAAAAGCCCTTAACTAGCACCAAGGTTCACTCATGATTATAATAATCAAGGGGGAAGCGCTAAACCCGTAGGATTATACAGCGCCTGTGGGGGGGGGGATGGAAGCTATTCAGGGTTAATTCAGAGAACTGGAGCACAGATCCAGTGCCACTCACCAGCATCAAGGAACCTTTGTTGAGGGGAGGTTCACCCATGAAAGTAATAAACTGTAGCTTCATAGGCATGTACTATGATAATTGTCACCTTATATCAGTATACACGGCCCCATCCAGGGCAAGAGAAACATCAGAGATAGAATGGATACAGAGTATCTCCAAGTGCTAGATCAACCAGATCATGATGGATATGTGGATCAGTGGGCCACCAGCAGCAAGAGCCTGGTTGATCAGGCAAGCACCAGACAAGCCTGGCCCAGGAAGTAGAATAACTCTCAAAACTCATCAAAGGCACCCTGATAGACGGTCCGCTTTACAACCGGGAGTGATGCTGTGATGGCCAATATTCTCTGTATTATAGCAATATTCTCAATATTATAGAAATCATGGGAGTGCTAAACCTGTAGGGGTCATACTGTGCCTGGGTGAATGGAAGGCATTAAGACTCGATTCAAGAAATTGGAACATAAATCCAATGTTTTAGACCAAGACCCCTCCTCAGCATCAAGGAACCTTTCTTGAGAGGAGAATTCTCAATTTGCTGCACACGTCTGACGTTATTTGTTCATCTCCCCTCAAGGGAGGTTCCTCGATGCAGGTCAGGGGTTCTTCGTCCAAGGAGTTGGATTTGTGCTCCAATTCCTGGATTAAAATTGATTGCTTCCCATTCTCCAGGTGTTTATAATGTCAAAGTACTTAGCGCTAGGTGAACAGGGAGAGGAAACATGCCCAACATTCTACCCATGCTGGAGACTGAACAATGAACACCCAGTGTGTAAGCAAATGTGCTATTAACTCAGCCATGGAACCTGCATAATGCCATTTTCACCAGGTGCCCATTGTTACTAGGTCAGTGTGCAGGTCTTGTAGTTTACAGTAATGCCACTTTATTTCACCAGGTGCCCATTGTTACCAGATCAGCATGTCAACGCTCGTACCCTGAATTCCCCATCAGCAAGAACCAAATCTGTGCTGGCTACATTAAGGGATCCTCCGATACATGCTCAGGTATGTATTATTATTTTGATCAGGGGGAAGCACTAAACCCATAAGAGTCAAGCAGCACCTTCGGAATGGAAGGTAATCAGGTTTGATTCAAAAGAGGGGAGGGGATGTCCAATTCCTTGAATCAACAGCCCTTCACCCACCAATAAGGCACCCTCCCCCCTCATGAGGGAATGAATTACCAATAATGATTACAATAACACATTTAAAATACTACTATTTTCCTTTAACTGTGGTGGCTCAGGCGACTCAGGAGGACCACTGATGTGTGAGGACGAGCACAAGGTGTGGACAGTGCATGGGGTCACTTCCTTCGGTGAAGGCTGCGGCATCCATGGCAAGTACGGTGTCTACACCAAGGTGGCCAACTACCTTCCCTGGATCAAGCAAGTCATCGCTGATAACTAAGGCAGCTCATTCCAAATTATACTCGCTAGCGCTGAACCAGTTGGGAGGGAAAATGGTCGTGTAGCACCTGGAAGGAAATGAGGTTTGATCCGAGGAAGGGTTAGGTACGGCAATTCCAATTCCCTAGATGAAGGATTCATTTACCAGCATAAAGGCTCGCCACCTTAAAGGGTCTTGGGGTAGAACAGATTTATTCATAGGGAAGTGGTGAATAACTAGTCTTCAATACTGTAAGAAATGCCACTTCAGTTTTTCTTTTCAATCACATGGTATATGTTGTATTTCACCAATAAAGGTCACCAGTCTACTTTGACCAGATCTACTGATGCTTCCTCTCTAGTTTTTTGGAATGTAGTTTTCATAAGTAGGACATGGTTATTATTACTGTATATTCACTGCAGTACAGCAGTCTTTGTACATGAAAAATAAAAGAAATGGAAGTGTCACCTTTTTTTTTTCATGGATTTTGCTGCCAAAGCAGCAAATTTATTATGCACCTAGGAACTAGTCCCCAAAAGTGATTAACAGGAATACATTTAGATTTAGGTTTACAGTCTTATCTGTTCCAAGCAAATTTTGGATATTTGTTTAATATGGGGGTACAAAAAGAACTGTCCATATCCATCAGTGTTGATTTCAGAAAATTTAGCGCTTGTTTCGAGTGTTGTAGTAGCCTGAATCTGAAAAGGTTATATATAACCAAGTCCCTCAATTTCATAGATGTGGTAATAATGACTAGCATTTCCACAGCACCAATAAAGTCTATTTTAAAATTCTAACTATTCAATGTTTCCTTTTCTTCATTCTACATTTCATTCTTTTATAATGCACAGTACATTACTATTATTTTTCTTAAAACTGAACACACATCACTAAGAGCCTTCCAAGTGAATACCTCTTTTAAGTATCTTTATATCACTCATATTTCATTTCTTTTCCTAGTTTCTCCACCTCCCTTGGTTTGAACACCCACTTAAGTTGATGCAACTATGCCCTGTAGTCTGACAAAAGACCTATTGTGATTTCTATAACCTTCCTTTTTTGTGCTGCTACTCACAGAAAAAGTATGGTGTGCACAATAGTCACATGTGGCACTAAGTACACTGGACGGCATTTAGCAGTTCAGAGAAGCTAGCTAGCCACACTGAGGTTTGTAGGCTGGGAAATACGAGACATGCACTTTGAAAGAAAAGTGCAAAACAGAAACCTGTTAAATTATTTTCACTCTTGGTAGGATTGCTGGTCTTCTTTGTCTAGTGAAACATGTTAACATGTACTAAATGTTACAACCCTCTTACGTTCAAGATGTACTTCACTTTCTTGTTTGTTAATACAGCCTATCCTCACTTAGCAACGTACTCGTTTACCGACGACTCAGACTTATGATGGGTCTGTGACCAATATGCATACCTAATGTATATTAGAGCTGATTTCCTCTATTTCAATATATAGTACACTACTGCATAAATATTTAAAAATATACTAAAAATGTTACAAATGGTGCAAGGGTGACATTAAAGCAATATCAAAGATGGTTGACAAACCCACTACCATTATAGTATGCTCTTTGTTTAGCGATGAATTCATTTATTGACACAGTATTAGGAACGAAACTCCATCGTTAAGTGAAGAGAGGCTGTAGATGTTGTTTCTGCAATATTAATTTTAACAGTTTAGGATGCTCTTATTAGATTAAGCCATGAGATTGATGTCTTTCTTTTATTCATAGTTGTGTGTGGTCTTTCTTTTATTCATAGTTGTGAGAGAAACATTAATCTTCGTAATTCAGAAGGCCTGGTCTAAGACCAAGCCATGGAAATGATTTCTGGAAATATTAACACATGCACACACACTTATATATTTACACAAAGATGATGATCGAGTTAATCTTGGTGAACGTGTTTTTATCTTTAGGTCACCCTGTCTTGGCAGGAGACAGCTGTCGAGTTAAAAATATTCAAACATTTTATCATTTCAGTCTGTGAAAAGTTCATCAATGTGAATTTTGTCAAACTGTCACTCATTCATAAACTAACTGCTTGGTCTTGATCAATGGCACTTATGCAAGTGCCACTCTACCATGCATTCATCATATTTCTCTGCTGCTTTTCAGCCCTTCTGTATATTTGATCAATATCACCACACAATCATAATCCTCACAATCTAACATCATACTCTGGCACAATATTTTTAAAATTAACATTACTATCCCCTTTTCTAAATACCTTAACACCATGCCTACCCCCAGAACATACATATATATTTTTTTAACAAACCAGCGGTCTCCCTAGGCAGGGTGAAACGAAAAATAAACACTTTTACCATCACTCCATCACAGTCTTGCCATAGGTATGCCAACACTGCAGTTCAGATGCCCCCTCCAAACTGCAAACAAATAAAGCACTTGCCAGTTATACATAAAATTTTCCATGCCATAATCTCTATCAAGAGAGGGAAGAAAAAAAAATAAACTTGCAACTTCAATGAATTTTGACTATCATAGTACAGATTCAAGTGTCTTTTCATTTCAGTGAGAATGAGAAAAGCTAAAATTGCCACAATATATGTACATATTGTACAAGCATACTGCTCCACTAGGAAAGGCTACTCTTTTTACTTACCATATAGTGAATTTCTCCATAAGCAATGTTAAGTCTGTGAACTCATCACCATTTTTATTACATTCAGTGTAGATCACTTATGGAACATTATCCTTAAAAAGGATTACAAATTAATATCCCTGAAGAAAAATAATAAATACAAAAGAATGTGGTATATCAATAGATGTGGAAAAAATAAATTCTCCCAAATATAATTTCAAGAGTATCAATTCACAGAAGTTTCAAAATGTTTTCAGGCAGGAGGATGCAGTGAAAGAAATTCAGGCTAAAAAAATCTTCATTACTTAAATACAAGAGAACTCTGGACTATATTACTAATGTAAGAATGAAGATTTAGTTTTATCAGAAAATATAACCAAATATACATCTTAGTAATGTTTTGCCCTATAAAATTTTTTTTTTTTAGTAAACAAGCTATCTTTGTTGCATTGCATTCTCAGTACCATAACCTGTAGAATGCTGTAATAATGTACAATCTTTTTATGAGCCTGAAAAACTGCATCTTAATAAAATAGAACACAAAAGTACAACCACCATATAAACAGGGACAATTCTAAAATCATTTATTTCATACTTACTGCCTTTAACCTTGAATACATACCAACCAGAACCAAGCTCTGATTGTAATCACTAAGTTTAACTTCCAATTAATTTATTGCACCACATTAAAATATCCTACTTGACATTTACTTCAGTGTTTCCTTGCAGTTAATTTCATTACCACAAGACAAGTGGTTACACTTGTTTATCACTAAGTGCTATCTAGAAGTTGTCACCAAAATGAAAAAGACATTAAAATGGCAGCAGTAGGCACTGAGAACTGAGAAGTCCACAGAAGATAGTCTAGAGATCGGAAGATGCATGGAAGTGGACCCAAGTTGACCCGATTCTGAGAGATGAATGGCAATCCACTTCCAGTGAATTAATAATCCTCCTTTGGGGCATCCAGGTCCCTGTAACCAACCCTGCGAAAGAAACAAGAACACAGAATATACCATGTATGCCTTGGTAAAGGCAGGGAATCAACTGAAAGGAAGGTGCACTTGTCAGCCATTAGTACTCCATGTTTGGGTAAACACAAAATTTATGGGAAAAATTAAGAACCAATTTTTTTTAAGACACCAACAGGACCATAACGATGCTGGGAACGAGTGCAGAGGTGACAGAGCACACCGCCTTCCTGAGAAATAACATCACCAATTTAGTATTCTTAGGTTTCAGTAAGTTATTATGTTACAAAGAAAGTAATATTTCTGCACAACACCTAGGGAAATATAGGCGAAGAACAGTCAACTTATTAAGAAACATTTAAAAGAATTATGAATTTAAGAAATATTATTTTCTCTAGGCTTTGACTAAGCACTGCAATGAGGAAACCTCAATTTAGGGCATAGCCAGAACCCCTCTCTTGGTAACAAATTTTACGTACTTCATTTAAAGCACACTGATGAAATATGTGGTTTTTGCAACATTATTAAAGATGTTTTATTTTAATATAGAACACTATTTTGTGGCAGTGAAACTGGTAATTAAAATACCTACTGCATATGATCTCATGATACGAGGGATGACCTAAAGTTTAACCCTTACTGTGTAAAAATACCTAAGTATTTTATTGTGAAATATGACAGTAACCACCCCCTCATGTCAGTAATACTAAATATACTGTACACAGATGGAGTGTAAGCATGGTAATATATTGTGAAGGGATTCAAGGAAACTGGTTAGCCAAACTTGAGTCCTAGAGGTGGGGAGTACAATGGCTACACTTTAAAGGAGGGGTTTGGGATACTGGCTGTTTGGAGTGACATCTAAACTGCTGTATCTGAGTGCCTCTGCAAACAGTGACTGTGTGAATGATGGTGAGTGTTTCTTTCTTTTTTGTTTCACCCTGCCTCAAGGAGAGAAGGCTGATGTGTAGGAGAAAAAAAAAAGCGGCCATATTATCTGAATGCTGGCTGAAGCCAGGACATTTAATCATTTTAGCATAAGGGTGGTACTGGTTGCTGGAGATGGGAATAGTATGATGTAAAGCCATTTCTTAATATATTTTGTCTGATTTATTCCATGTACAGTATAAAAGGAGAAGTTAAATATTTGTAAGGATAATTCAAATTATATTAGCACCAAAATGAAGGCATCTGATGATAACTTTGTTAATGAAGTACCACTAAGATGAAAAATCTCCTTCCCGTATATGAAAGGTCCACTATATCTTTACACGTCTGGCAGAAGTCATGCATAGGCTATACGGTGAATCACATGAGCATTCAAACTCGTGCTAGAAACTTAACACTGTCAACTGTCACTGTGTATTTCTGCTAACTGCTGATCATACCAGGTTAAGGGTATAATTCAGAACCCTGGAGATAGTCACTGGGGATGGGTCACCCTTAATCACCTAGGGAATCAAAACTTCATCCAGTGTTCCTGCAGCTTCTGGAAGATTCTCACTATCCTCATTTCTTTGGTGGGTAACTTGAATATGTCCAAATTTTAAGATTTTAACAGTAATTTTCAGTTTATATTAAAAATAAAGTCCTTGATGAGAAAGGACTTGAAGCAAACCATTTCACACTGAAAAATGGTTCTCAGCTTGCTGTTATAAAAAAGGATCAACACACACCAACTGTGAGGATCCTGCCGCATTGTAAATTTGTTTCTGCAGTGTGCGAATTAATTTAAAGTTCAGAATGTCTCCCCATGAGCTTTGCGTATAGACTGCATGGAAAGAGAAAGCCACAGACACTTAGATTCTGCAGCAGGAATCACTTAAAAGTTCATAAAATCCCATATTGATCTGGCTCCCGTAATTCACTCCCCCACCCAAGCAAGAAAAAATGCTTCATATAAATGCAATGCATATTCTGAGCAAATCCAAAGATGGACTTTATGAGAACATTCAGAAGCTGGCAGAGGAGTTTGCATTACTAAGGTTACCACAGTAACTACACTCCTAAATCCCAAACTAAAAAAAAAAAAAAACTTTTGGATCAGTCCTCGTATACTATGGTGTGAAAGAACTTATGTTATGTCTTAAAAAAAAAAAAATGTTGTAAAATCCACTCTCAAAATTTATGATAAAGCTTATGAAATTTGGAAGAAAAACTTCACCTGTTACCAAGAGATGTAACATGAACCGCTACACTAAAACCTGGAAATTGGAACGGTGCGTACAATTGGCTGGCGACGTCAAGGTTAAAAGAGATCTGTATCATCAGGAGCATCCAAATCATGGTATCCAATGACTTCCCGTGGATCACCCGACCTAAGGGAACAAAAACCATTAGTAGCGGCTAACTGTCACTTCCTGATGTAAAGGTGGTATCCATTTTTATTATTTTTTTATGAGAGTCTTATTTTCCCAAACTAGTACACTAAGATTTTTAAACTGTAATACAGTGTTTAGGATTCATTACCTACTACCTGCATCCATTTAATTACTTTCGGATTATTAATCTTCAAACTTGTAAAAGTTTGCACAATCTTACTTTGCTTCGCCAAGCTGCACATTTATGGCTATTATAATTATCGATGTCACCAGTAATTCCTATTAAAAGCTATGAATCATTTTTGAATATTGTATTTTATATTTTATCATCTGTCCAAAAGAAAATACATTTACCATCATTCACTTACTAGCCTGCCCTCCTAATACCTAGTCTTCCTCATTTCTCAACACACATGCAATATACTTCATGTACATTTATTTCCAACCATTCCTACAACATCCCACATGCCTTCCTTCCAATCATTCTTAGGACAAATCACACCTTCCTTTCAATCATCATTAGGAATATCTGCACACCTTCCAACCATTCCTAGGACAACCCAAACACCTTCCTTTTGACCCATTTTCAAGACAACTTACATACCTCCCTTTCAAAAGATTCCTACAACAACCGACAAAACTTCCTTCCAAACCATTCACATAACCCACACACCTTCCTACCATACCATTCCTAGGACAACTCGTACATCCTCCATCCCACATGCAACTTATACACCCATCACCAATGTGATTATATTTTTCTCTACACAACCAAACCATTTCAATAACACCTTTTTAACTCAAACATTATTCTTAGAAAAGGCATTTATATAATCTCCAACCCCGTCAATTGCTGCAAATTTTTAATAACTGCATAGGGGATAAAAGAGAGTGCAAAAATTATAGGGGGATAAGTCTGTCGAGTTGTAGGTAGTAGGTTGGTAGACAGCAACCTCCCAGGGAGGTACTACCATCCTGCCAAGTGAGTGTAAAACGAAAGCCTGTAATTGTTTTACATGATGGTAGGATTGCTGGTGTCTTTTGTCTGTCTCATAAATATGCAAGATTACAGGTAAGTCTTGCTACTTATACTTACACTTAGGTCACACTACACATACATGTACAAGCATATATATACACACCCCTCTGGGTTTTCTAATATTTTCTTTCTAATTCTTGTTCTTGTTTATTTCCTCTTATCTCCATGGGGAAGTGGAACAAAATTCTTCCTCTGTAAGCCATGCGTGTTCTTAAGAGGCGACTAAAATGCCGGGAGCAAGGGGCTAGTAACCCCTTCTCCTGTATATATTACTAAATTTAAAAGGAGAAACTTAAGTTTTTTCTTTTGGGCCACCCCGCCTCGGTGGGATACGGCTGGTACGTTGAAAGAAGAAGAAGTCTGTTGAGTATACCTGGCAAAGTGTATGGTAGAGTCATTATTGAAAGAATTAAGAGTAAGACGGAGAATAGGATAGCAGATGAACAAGGAGGCTTTAGGAAAGGTAGGAGGTGTGTGGACCAGGTGTTTATAGTGAAACATATAAGTGAACAGTATTTAGATAAGGCTAAAGAGGTCTTTGTGGCATTTATGGATTTGGAAAAGGCATATGACAGGGTGGATAGGGGGGCAATGTGGCAGATGTTGCAGGTGTATGGTGTAGGAGGTAGGTTACTGAAAGCAGTGAAGAGTTTTTACGAGGATAGTGAGGCTAATGTTAGAGTATGTAGGAAAGAGGGAAATTATTTCCCAGTAAAAGTAGGCCTTAGACAAGGATGTGTGATGTCACCGTGGTTGTTTAATATATTTATAGATGGGGTTGTAAGAGAAGTAAATGCGAGGGTCTTGGCAAAAGGCGTGGAGTTAAAAGATAAAGAATCACACATAAAGTGGGAGTTGTCACAGTTGCTCTTTGCTGATGACACTGTGCTCTTGGGAGATTCTGAAGAGAAGTTGCAGAGATTGGTGGATGAATTTGGTAGGGTGTGCAAAAGAAGAAAATTGAAAGTGAATACAGGTAAGAGTAAGGTTATGAGGATAACAAAAAGATTAGGTGATGAAAGATTGGATGTCAGATTGGAGGGAGAGAGTATGGAGGAGGTGAATGTATTCAGATATTTGGGAGTGGACGTGTCAGCGGATGGGTCTATGAAAGATGAGGTGAATCATAGAATTGATGAGGGGAAAAGGGTGAGTGGTGCACTTAGGAGTCTGTGGAGACAAAGAACTTTGTCCTTGGAGGCAAAGAGGGGAATGTATGAGAGTATAGTTTTACCAACGCTCTTGTATGGGTGTGAAGCATGGGTGATGAAAGTTGCAGCGAGGAGAAGGCTGGAGGCAGTGGAGATGTCATGTCTGAGAGCAATGTGTGGTGTGAATATAATGCAGAGAATTCGTAGTTTGGAAGTTAGGAGGAGGTGCGGGATTACCAAAACTGTTGTCCAGAGGGCTGAGGAAGGGTTGTTGAGGTGGTTCGGACATGTGGAGAGAATGGAGCGAAACAGAATAACTTCAAGAGTGTATCAGTCTGGAGTGGAAGGAAGGCGGGGTAGGGGTCGGCCTAGGAAAGGTTGGAGGGAGGGGGTAAATGAGGTTTTGTGTGCGAGGGGCTTGGACTTCCAGCAGGCATGCGTGAGCGTGTTTGATAGGAGTGAATGGAGACAAATGGTTTTTAATACTTGACGTGCTGTTGGAGTGTGAGCAAAGTAACATTTATGAAGGGGTTCAGGGAAACCGGCAGGCCGGACTTGAGTCCTGGAGATGGGAAATACAGTGCCTGCACTCTGAAGGAGGGGTGTTAATGTTGCAGTTTAAAAACTGTAGTGTAAAGCACCCATCTGGCAAGACAGTGATGGAGTGAATGATGGTGAAAGTTTTTCTTTTTCGGGCCACCCTGCCTTGGTGGGAATCGGCCAGTGTGATGATAATAAAAAAAAAAATATACATATGTACTCTGATAATTATACTTACGTGTACCTGTACCTAAATAAACTTACACATTGTGCTGGCGTTAAAATCACTAAGTCTGTCTTATTAGCCTTGAAGATGCCATATTAATAATGATGATAATAATAAGACACAATAATAATCTCTCTGAGGGGTATTAGTCATATAAAACATTTTGCTTAATCCATCTATGATATTTTTTCAAAATTATATAATAAACACACTAAATGTGTACACAGTACTATTACTGGGGGTAACTGTATAAAATTATTCTTTTCATAGGCCTTCACTCAGAGCATCATTTCTTCTAAAAATAGTGTGTTACACGAGAATGGGAGTGTTGCTCTTTATTTATTCTACTGTACCAACGTGGAGACAATCTGTACACAGTGTAAGGTGTTTTTATTATAATGTAAGCTTTACAAATATGGAAATGAATGTGCATCACCCACCAGCGGCATTCATCTCTTTGTTTACATACTCTGTGGCTCTGTCCTCTCTCATTTACTCATTCTCTCTCTCTCTCATTTATTTGTTTTTATCTAGTTTCCCCTCAAGGAAGGTTCCTTGACATTGGTGAGGGGCTCTTGATCTAGGGAATTGGATCTGTGCTTCAGTTCCCTGAATTAAGCCTGAATACCTTCCACATCCCCCCCCCCAGGTGCTGCATAATCCTACAGGTTTAACTGTCCCCCTTGATTATAATTTTATCTCAGTTACTCACCTCTCACCCTATATTAAGACTACAAATATTTTAAGTAATGAGTGTACTGTATATGCATTTTTATCTCTCTAGAGTGCTTTAAATGTTGTAGTACATATATTATGTGGGGGTGGGGTGGCCAGGAGGGCTACCATACCTGACTTCTTACAATAAACACTACTCACCTCTCACCCTACATTAAGACTACAAATATTTTGAGGCAAGTATTGAATGTACAATGCGTGTATTTTACTTTTTATTGTTTTTTAATGCCTAGTTCTATTGCTAACTTAATATATGTTAATGTAAACTCATTAACTGGCATTTATATGCCAGTTACTGAAAATGGAAAATGGAAAAAATTACTTTCTGCTTTCCGGTGATGTCCACTTTCCAGCCTGGAACCTAACGTGCCGTATAGGTAGGGCCCTACTGTACTACTGTGTGATTTTCCCCATCCGTCACACACACATTTGCTGATACATCCACTCTCAAAGACCTACCTAAATGAATTCACTTCCTCCACACCCTTGTCCACTTTAATCTTGCATTCCCTATAAATCTAAACTTTCTCATCAACTTATTCTTTTTTTGCTATTACTTAACAGCTTCTTCCTTTTACATACACTCCCAAATTCCTTTACCAACCCTTGCAGTATTTATTACAAATCTCCCAGTAAAATGTCATCTGTCCATACCTATCCTATTCCCATTAACTTATCTTATAATTTGGTTTATAAACACACTAACCCTTTGACTGTCGCAAGCCCCTTTCTGAAACTGTCATTCTATGTCACAAAATTTTTGGAAAAAAAAAAAAAAAAAAAACTTATGAAATGATAATCTTTTCCCGATGGTAATGACATCAAAAGTATGAAATTTGGTCGAAAACTCACGGAATTACACTCCTGCGAAGTTAGCGGTCTCGGCGACATATATGCATCGGTGATTTTGCCAACTTTGAGCCCTGTTTTTGAGCAATTCCATTGTTCCAGTTGACCAAACTTCGTAGCTATTTCTTTAGAACTCCATTTTTTCTAACAGTTGAGTACAAGAAACCACCCATTTACTGGTTTGAACTACCCAATAAAGTGGTCAGAAATTGGCCATTTGGCCAATTTCACACAAATTAATAAAGATGCCAATTTCAAAATAGGGTCCAAAATAAACAATGTAGACATTCTTGGCACTAAAATAACATAACCTCTGTTCATTAGTCACATCTCTAGGCCTCTCTCATATTACCATTGCTTTCTATCTTGATTTTTTATTCATACAAAAAATACAAAATTTACTGTTATTCAGACTACTGCATTATTGCAAAAATTGTATAAATAATATCAGTGCACT